AAAAACATTTAAAAACTTCTTAAACGATTCCAGTTTTGCACTTATCGTGTGATATAGTCATCTTTCCAGTCAATTCGATTATTTATTATTAATATTCAAATGTTTATAGCTCATGAATATTTTTTATATTCATATTATCAATCTGCCCAAAAGAATGGAGATGCTTATTTTTTAATTATTAAAAAATATACACAAAACTTATTAAAATATATCAACAAACATTCTTGTGACAAAAATTTTAACACATTCGCAAAAGTAATTTTTTTTAAGGGTAAAAGTAAAAGGTTTTTCTTCCAAGTAAATAAAGATATTTTAATCTTAGGCCATATTGAACATTTAGTCATTCAAGTATTTAGTGGAGTTTCGTACTTCAATCGATACGTGCAACAGCTTTTGTTCAAGGGTCATGCAAAAAAAAAAATTCGCTCATTGAACTAATGCGCTTGGTTTTTAAAGGGCAAAGAGAGAACATTTTAATTATCCGGCCAACTACTGCAAACAGCAAACTCTAGAGACTGTTTTTGACAGAGCAGCGGATCAGAGCTATTACAGTGAAAGAGGGAATGAGTAGCTGCGCCGGGACTAGATAATATGTTCACCGTATTGTTTCTGATACACCAGTTAAATGGAACACGATAGTTGGCATAACGATAGCAATTCTGTTTCGCTTTTATCAAGATTAAACCGCAACAATTTTGATTAATCCCAAGTCACCAAATTGCTACCTCTTATGCAACTTATCAAAATAAATCGTTATGATTATTTATTTAAATTATTTTTTTTTGTACGGTCGATTGATTTAGATGCACATACAAAACTATTGGCTCATGTAACCAACTATTATTTATTGAAACCTTTTTAGTTGTCGTGTCTTTATTGCAAATAGCTCACTGATATTCAGAATCATATTTAAATTTACATGGAATAAAATCTTTAATAAGTACTATTTTAAAAATACCACAGTACAAAGATATACAAAAAGTAATTTTCTTAAGATTGTCGCATAAATTACTACAACACACGCTAAAAAGTTACGAAAAAGAAATGTTCAAGTATAATATATTCATAAAATTAAAAGTTGCTGTCCATTGTAGAAAATAAAAAGTCCTTGATTTTGCTTTGTTTTTATTTAACTAAATGTAGTATTACTTCAACGTCTACACACAATTTTTTGAATTTCAAAGGAGATAACAAAATTTTGATTTGTCAATTAAGACTAACTGTTATTGAAGCATTTATTGTTATAATAAACTAATAATAATGGCTTTTGTACTTGATTTGATTGAAAATTAAAATAACAATAATGTTTTTAAATGAAACGTAATAAACACAATAAATACCTACTAAACTGGAACAACATTTTTGAAATCATGATTTCCGCAAAAGCCGTATTAAATAAAGCTGCAAAGAGTTTATACTCATAACACCCTTTTTTTCCTATAAATATTATTGTATAAAACACAAATATATATTAGAAGATATTTGTATTGCAAACTTGTAAGCTGTGTGATAATGTTTCTATAAGTAATTTTATTACTTATACACCCAACCGTCTGTATCTTGTCTAAATCCGATATAATCGTATTCCTTTTTCGTTATTATTGCTTTTATATTATATTGAAGTAATCGAAACCAACATAACTCTACCGTAATTATATTAGAACTATAAAATCTTTGTGATTATGGACATTTTCCTCTAGTCAAAATTATTTAAGCTTTTTAATAATATCAAAATTGTTTCATAAAAAATTACTCATTTGAAACTTAAAAATCAAGAATTTTTCTTATTAATATTAAGCATTTATAGTTCTAAACAATAACTAAAATGCAAATCATTTATATTTTTATATTTTATTCTTAGTTTGCTAAAACTAAAAGATCCTAAAAAATCAAATATACAATTTATTTACTAAAATATAAAAAACTATGTTAATTGATTATGGTATTTTCATTAATGAAAATTGTTAATTGAACAAAGAAAAAATAATTCATAAAAATCTTTAAAAATTAAAACTGAATTAAGATAAATTTAAAATCAAAAACAAATACTAAATATAAATGTTTCCAATTAAAAAATATATAACTAATCTGTTTGTTTATTTTAGCACTCCACTCTTACTTTAATACACTATATAAACGGATTTAAAATCTAAGACATGATTCAAAAAATTATCATTTAATCAGTAAACATACTTAATATCCATTTCCTATAAAAATAATTGAAGGCGAAATCTAACTGAAAAGCAATGTTTCCAACATTTGTTAAGTTCTTACAATAAATAGTTGTAATAGTTTTTAAGTCCAACGTAAATGACCTTTTTCATTTAGCAATACAATTTAAATAATTTATTACGGTATATAATGATAAATTATTTCTTAATTATTATAAATTAAAAACTATTAATTCACATACATATAAATATGTAAAGAAGAATACACTTAATAACGTACGTCTGCTGCATGTCATTATTGTTATTTGATCTAAAAGAAACCAGTCTTAAATAGATAAAATAAACTAATAGTTTTCTTTAATAAATGATATGTTTTTTTGACGTATTATAGAGTAATATCGATCAAATTAAAGTTAATACTATTACTGGTGACAGAAAAACTTGTTGTTATAATAAATTTAAAACATTTAATATTCTTTATCGAAACCGAAAAACAGGTAATACAATTATTTGAAAAATAATTAAAGAACGAAAACAATTCTTGTAAAAATAATACTTTTGTTTAATAAAAATGACTTAAATAATTATCATAATTTAAAAGAAAACCATTCTTGTTAAAATAACCATAATGTTATTAGCTTCATAATTTAATCACTTTTCAGTGATTCTTTTTTATCTTATATCAATTTATTAATACTTAAAGTTAAACATTTTTATTCTTACAAATGTTTGCAATTTATCAGATGCCATTATCATTTTAATCTTTTGAATTACGAAAAATGTACATTAGTAAACATAAGATTATTTCTGCTTCAGGTTTTGACTATTTCAAGCGCAAATAACAGGTTTATATCACAGATAATCTTTACAAAATATTGTTGGCATAAAAGACAATTTTGATTCAAATTAAATAGAAAATGTTTGTGATTTATTAAAAAATAATAATACATAAAATGATTTCATACGAGTAATAAGTTTTTGATGCACTGGAATATTCGATAAAATGACAAATTGTTAAAATCCGTTTTTTACTTCTAGTGTATAATTCATTATATTTTATTATAAAAATTTTCATTATTTTTAAATCTATACTTTGTGTCCCAAATTGTTAAAATCAAATATTACTCTATCTCATTCTTCAAAAGTAACTTAGTTAAAATCGTATTTTGACTAAACCAATCATTTTTTAATTAATAAAATTATAATTTTTTCCTGAAAATAAATAATCCATATTCATTAATCTTATTGTTTTCCTAATAATTTATTGCTAATTCTTTTTTTGCTTCGAAACTTAGATGATGGTTATATTTAGTTTTTTTATGTCTGTTGATGAAAATTCTAAGCTCTCCCTGAACCGATTTTAATGATATTTGAAATTTACTACAATATAAAGAAAATATTCTACCTCACGATTGTTTTACTACGATAAATCAGCCGTCAAAATTATAAAAAAAATTCGCAATTTTTCAAAAAGAGACTTTATTTTTTATTTTTGAAAATATTTCGGGACGTCTACTCTATTTTAATATATATCAAATCTCTTGAAATGTATTACATTTTAAAAAAAACATTGCAGTGACTTGTTCAATGTAAGTTATCAATCTCTAATTTTAAAAATTTGTAATATTTGGTGGATATGTTGATTTTTATTTTATGTTTCAAATACGCATCGAAGCGTTTTTTTGACAGTAATTTTAATTTCTGTCAGATATCAATTAATACTAATTTTACAAATACCTCAACTCCATTTTACTGAATATCAACTGTACTTTACTTTTATACGTTTAACATAAATGATCATTGATTAAAAACTTAAGGAGCTAAATTATATATGTATTCATTTTTTGTGGAATATTTAAAATAGCCTTGAGTAATCAATTTATAAGAAACGGTAGTTAATTAGTTCTATTTGATGAAACAACAAGTGGTTGAATTATTTAGATTACCTTTTAAACATACTAATAAATCTTAACTATTCAGTTTGACAGTAAACTGTAAATCGTTCTACATTTAGAGTGCTTCATTTGTTATTTAGTGAAATGTGCTCCCCCCAAAAAAAAATTTCTTTTGGACCCTCGCATGCTTACATAACTATCTAATCAATAAGAAGTAATTTAAAAATATATGATAACAATAGCTTTTGAAAGGACATTTAACATAAATTATTTACCATGTAAAATAAAAGTTTTCTTATCTTCTGGTTGTTTTTGTTATATAATTCAAAATATTTTACTAGTATTTTATTATACAGTGTATTCCACCATATTATGATACCTTTAATAATTTATGATCGAACTAATATGTTGTGTAACATTTTTTAAAATAATTTTTACAGTTTTGGACCATATTAATAGCATAATTTTTATTGTATGTTTCTAAAAAGAGCGGAATATATACACATGTATGAACTATACCCACTTACACTACACACCCACTCTATGTATTAAAATGTTTGTCATCTAACTTATTTTAAAATTATTACTAATCCATCAAAATTTTTTTTAAAAACTTCTCAAATAAAAAAATTCTTATTTTCCTTATTAAATACAAATAATAAAACTGCTAAAATTATTAAAAACAATTTTTTTTTGTAAAATATTTGAAGGATCAAAAAATATTAACGATGTCAATACTTGAAGTAATACCGTATGAAATAAAATAATAGTAAAATATTCTTAATTATGAAATTGATTTATTAATAAAATGAAATTAATGTAATTAATTTATTATAAAGTAACAGTAAATAACAAATTAATTTTTATTTAAAAAAATACAATTAAAAAATAATTATTGTGATAATTTATTCAATATATTATTTTTGATTTACAGCTCCAATTACAAAAACTTCCAGCACAAGTTGGAGAACTGAACATAAAGCAGCACGCACGCTTGGAATTATAATGGGTGTATTCTTATTGTGTTGGTTGCCATTTTTTTTATGGTACGTATTACTACTAGTTATCTCATTGATATTCCTTCTGCATAACATGGTTTAACACAACGTATTAAGTCACAAAATTAAAGTGTCCCAATAATTTAAAAGTGGTTATATTTTATGAAAGGTATATTTTTATCAAAAATGTATCATTCAAATATGTATGAAAATACATGTGTTACAAACTTATGAATTTTAAAACACACGTTACTTATTTACTCTAATTTAAATAAATTCTCGATTTTAAGAATTTTTAACGAAATTTCAACAATAATTTAATATAGTAAAAAAATTTATGTTAATCTCAAAATAGTAACTTCTCATTAGTAATTTAATCATTTAAAACAAAGAACATCCTGAATAGTAGGCAAATTTTTTTTTTACTGAACCAATTCATGCCTATATAAACAAATATTAATAATGGTATATAATTATTTACTCTTTACTTGATAATGTAGTGTCATGACTTAAAATGCTTTCACAAATAATACCATGTGTCGTACTTCATTTAGTTTGTCTTATACGGCCGGATCACGTAAAAAAAAGTTGTGACAAGATTTTTTCTTTTGTTAATACTAATGCGGTCACGTAAAATACCAATTTACGGACACTGTACTCTATTTTTCTTAGCTTCTATTTTTAAGGAGATTTTCATCATACGTTGTCTTAGAGTAAAGAAAGTCGTGTGTTAACTTGTTAAAGTTGCAGTAGTCCTTACTTTGTAACTTGGGTTTCCTAATTTCGAAATAGTATACGGAGCGATGAAAAATAACACTATAATTCCAGAGAATGGCATAAATATTAAAGATTGTAACATTATTAAAATTGGACTAGGCCATAGTGTTTTTGTATACTTTTACCAATTTTTCAATAGCAAAGTTATATCTACTATGTTTATTTCCTTATTGAATAAGTTATCGCTTATTAAACACACCGATATTATTATTTATTGACGACAAATAATGTAATTTTATTTATGCAAAAAACATAAACTTGATACAAAAATTAGAATAATACTGAACACTTTAAATTTTACATTGGATCAGTGTAAAGAAGTTTTTAGTTTCTTTTAAATAATCAAGACAGTTCACTCTTAGTACTTGATGTAATATAAGATAAAATTCAATAATACTAGTTTAGTTTATTTTTAAACTACCGCCAAATATTGATATTGGTAGTTAAAATTAACTAGTAAAATTGTGGGTTATCTAAATTGATTTATTTTAATTTTAGATTTTGAACAGTTTATTTAATTTAAGCTCTTCAATTGGTGCTACTGTAGAGAATTTCAAATTATATGAAATTTACATCTTTTAACCTCTATTAAAATATATTTTCATTAATTTTATAATTTCCTAATAAATCTTTAATAAAATATCTTTTATTTTCTTAAAAAAAGCAACTTACTGCAGCGTAAAGTGAGTGTAACATTTTAATTCAAATTAATAGTTCAGTTATAATCGACTTATTAACATATAATATATATTAAATTTCATTGGTATTTTTTTTTACAATTTTAAAATTAAAATTATTTATTATTTGTGTAAAATTAGAGTATACTGGAGGCTATGGAAGCTATTAGCCAATTATTTACGTACGTTTCCATAACCTCCCTTTATAACAATTTTGAACAATTTTTTTTTCTAATTTTTACTCTATTTTATGAATTTTTACACTAAAATTTAAAATTTGTACCACATTCTTTTATTAGATATAGTCATTTTTCTAATGAGGGCTGTGGAATCGTTTCCCCAGCAACCGCATTTTTAAAAATATGGTTTATTTTATAATTACTAATCTTCTTCTTCCTCGCTTTAATCCCAACTACTTGGATTCGGCCACCCTTATCCTAAACTTCCACTTGACACGATCTCCCCCACATCCTCTACGCTCACAACAGCTGTCCTTATATCGCATTCAATAACATCTCTCCATCTCTATTTTGGTCTTCCTCTACCTCTTCTTCCTTCAACATTCATTTCTACAACTGTTCTTACGGCTTCCGATTCCTTTCTCCTCATAACATTATCAAACTATTTAAGTCTATTTACTCTCATCTTATCCACGATGATATTCCTATGCTTTCTCTTTCATATTTATTCCTTATCCTATCTTCTTTCATCAGGCCACTAATTTATTTAAGCATTCTCATCTCTGCTACACTCATTCTCTGGTCTACATTCTATTCAACCACTCAACACTCAAAAATACATCATAGCTGGTCTCACTACATTCTTATAGAATTTACCTTACAGCCTCATAGAAATTTTTTTATCGCATAAGAATTTTATAATTAATAATATAAAATATAATTTACTTGAAGTTAAAATAAAGTAATTTTTAAAAAATTAACAATAATTGTTGAATTTTAAACTAACCTAATTATTAGGTTAGATCTAGTTTTAGTTTTAGGTGTAAGATAAGTGGGCAGATTTGCCCATACACTCCGACCTGTAGATCCATTGTGCGCACCTTTTACTGAATTATATTATTTCGGTTTCTTCGCATAAGTGTTTCCGACGAATTGTGTTGCCATTGTTTGAATACATACGATTATATATGTACATTTATTTATTTAGAACGTTCTATTAGGCCACATATTTATGGTGTTATATATATGTATTAATCCACATATATATAACACCTATATATGTTCAAAGAGTCTTGTCTCTCTGGCAAAATTAAATATCTCTTTATGTTTTAAATTTTTAATACATTCTTTTTCGAGAAAATATCTTCTCAAATGTTAAGTTTTAATGTGTCCAAGGTATCACATCCATAAATAATGTAAAATGAATTTTTCTCTTCTGTTCCACACTTTTTAAGCAGATAATTGTTTTCTGTCAGTAGTCCAGTTAGAGTGTTTATTTGATATCTAGTTATTTTATTAAGATTCCTCAATAGTAGACCGGGAGTTAAACATTTCTGATTAGTTGAGTACCATTAAGGAACTCCATATTTTCATGTGTTGTTCTCTGCATCAGGTTTTAGGTAGCACTTTGATTGATTGCTCCACGAATCCTACTACTGGTTTTGGTCCAACATAGGTGTTTTCTGCACCTTTCCTTGTTAGTACGAAGTATGCTTTTTCATTACCAATCCACCGCTGCATTCAAGGACTAACTTTGAAGTCATCTGGTTACTACTAAGAGCCTTTAGAGTACCTTGACTATAAATTAGGATATTAATATTCCTTTTTTTGAATACTATCAGATTCTAGTTACCTACTAGTATTACTATTACCTATGCTTGAAACACAGAGGATGTTATGCCCATTAACATGCTGATATTTATGCGAGGTTTTAATCCCCAAATGCCAGCAGCTACCTTTCATAAATTTAAAAGTCGTCTGTACACATTACAAACTTTTCTTTCCTAGTCAAGTGGTTTATATTCCATTACCTATGTTAATATCTCACCTTTGTAGGGGGTGTTATTTTAAAGAACAGGTTTGATACAATCGAAGAAATATACTTTGGTGTATCTTTTTTAGTATTTTACTATGTTCTATGGTGTCGCTATCAATAGCCCACGTACCTAGAGAGTAGAATCTTAGTGCTGTGCCTTTGACATGAAATTTAACCTCTAGATGTAAAGGAAGTATCCCAGTTAGTACTGTTGATGTTTTTCTTATCACTCTAATAATGGCTATTGCAGCCATTCTTTAAATGCAAGTCAGTTCTTTCATGGCTAAGTGTAGTTCTGGTCCACCAGACCAAAGCACCGTAAAAAATCATAGGTATATTCACTAAAGAGTATAAAGCGGCCCCTACACGATCAATTAATTTGTGTCAATATTTTGTACAATATTTATTTGCCCTAAGCCTATCAATATTATTGTCCAATATTCAATTGAAAAATATTCATTACATATGTAACCTATCATCATAGGCGTATATTTAATGCGTGTTTACAAAGGCGTAGTGGCATTTACCATCATCAATTTATGTGATATTATAAATTACCACTTTTTTAAAAATGTATCTAACCGATAACCCATAACCACTATTGCGTTATTTTGTACAATATCACATGCTAACGTACAATAAAATTGTGTATTATGCAATAAATTTCCAACCCTGTTTGATTTCTTCAATATATTGTACAATCCTTCAATATCTATACTAAACTTTCAATAATATTGCGCAATATCGATTATTGTTCAATATTATTGGTCGTGTAATAAACAAAACATAACGCTTGATTTAAGACATTTTTATTAACACTTTCCCAGAGTTCTGGGATCCATATCCACAATATAATCATGACGTTTTTGACTTCGTCCTCAATATGTGATTTCTATTTTAGCTTACTGTCTAGGATAATACTTAATAATTTCTCCTTTGGCCTAAAGACAATTTCTTATCTATTTAGGCTAAGTGTGTCAAGATTTTTAAGTCCTGTTCGTCTCCTAGTAAACATTAGTATACATCTATTTTGTTTGGATTAATAGCTAGGCTATACTTACTACAAAACATGTATACAGTATTCAGTATCTGCTGTGTCAGTAGATTTCCCTGTTTGCTATGCATGTTGGTTCTATGTAAAAGGTTTAAATAAATGTACACAAGTAAGTCTATCTTTAGCAAAAAATCAAAAAATTATAGTATAAAAAAACATATTTATAATAATTTAACATGAAATAAAATATTCAAAATAATGCAAACTTATTTCTTAATTATTAAATTGTATGTTTCATATGTTTTAATAATAATATGCACATACCTTGCTCGTCTTCGTGAAAATTTGTTTTTAAAAGGCAAAAGATACTTTGCCTTTTACTATTGTAGTAATATACACATTTTACAACAGTGTACTAGTATTAGCCATTTAAATATTTCTTGGAAAGATCATTAGTTTTGAATAGTTGAAATAAATACTCGGTAATCTACAGTACGATCTGTAATTATTTTTAATTTAAATAAATTACAATGCAATGGTTAAAGACTACTATGTGACGTGTCAAAATTACTGAAATGTCTAATTATTTCTATCTTGTTGTAAAT